CTATCTATCTATCTATCTATCTATCTATCTATCTATCTATCTATCTATCTATCTATCTTAGAAAAGTTGGTTCTGGCTGCTTTACTTAGAGAAATGAAGACATAAAGAGAAATAGGTGATATCCCTCGAGTGTAGATGGTGAAAATCTCATTGCTTAGAGAGGTTTTTTTTTTTTATTAAACTTTCCCCTTTTAAAAATATTGCTGACATGCTATAAATAAATAGATTTAAGGTAAAGATAAATAAAATGATTTAAAAGCCTTTAAAAACCATCAGCTGTAATCCTAAACTCATTGACCACCCTTCTGTTTCAAATGGGGTTGATGTAATACAGTTTTGTGCCCTGATGTAAATAGGTATGTTTACACATATTGAAGTAATTTTCCATCCATAAATTATAATTATGCATATCTGATTCTATTAACAGGGAATCAAGAGGAATTAATTACTTCATTAGGTGCTTAAATCCCAGTATTTTTAATACCGCTAGGGGTAAGATAGAGACTCTACATTTTTCATGCCTACCTGGACAAGCTGGTGTCCTATTAGGATACTGGCTTGGCCATATAAGCAAAGCCTTATCTTTGTCTGACACAGTTGCAATTCTCAAGTAGTCTTCAAGGGCCCAAGTAATATTCTTGCAGTAAGGATCCTGACCGTTCAGTAGTAGCTTCTTGTGAACAGAAAGGAATTTGGTTCAGTCAAAATGAAAAAGAGAAATAGACTAACTTCTGAGGATTCTCAATTGTGTTGCTATGATCCTCAGAATAATAAATGAATTTGTGTGCCTCCTCCATGAATGATGATGATGATATGGATATCAACCATTGCTGAAAGAATTAAACTTTCTCCAGTTGTGTGGTGCTCTTTGTACTGGGCAACTCTATTTGCACATACAAAGTTGGAGCCTTGCTAAACTTTGCTCAGAGCTTTGCTTGGACAAGCTAGTCACCCATCATGTTCTCTGGCTGATTCTTTTTGTTGTCACACTAGCAGCTTTTTCCACAGTGGGCTCTAGACTTCCAAGACCTCTCAAGACCTGCCTGCTGCCACTTCTTCCTCCATATGCCTTTCTACCTCTGCTGCTGCAGTCATCATAAGTCAATGCCTTTAGCTGCTGCTCCATCATCATGTGAGAGGGTGGCACATGAGGCAGATTGGGTGGGCAGTCACTGCCAGAACTTTGCTGCTGTTAAACATGTGGGAAAGGGAAGACAGCATGTGGGAGAAGAAAAAAGTAGACAGGGAAGGATTTAGAGATCTTGGAAGGCTGGAGTCCACTTTGGAATAAAGCTGCTAGATCAGCCAGAGAATCCCACAAGTCGTGCTTGTCCAGGCAAAATAGGAGTGTGGTCTGACCAGGCTCTGGCTTTGTCTGTGCAAGCCCTCCCCAACTGTAATTCTCCCCCACCCCCACAGTGAAATACCTACATATCTGAAATCACTGATGATCTAGGCAGCCGAGAAACATATTGTATAGTGGTTGGATTAGTTTTAAATGGATTATTCAGAGGGCAAGCATTGGGTCTCCTTAGATTTCTAAGTACAGTACCAACATACCAGACCCTCTAGAGAGCAGTGTTTAGCTACAGAAGAATGTAGGGTTATCACAAGAAGCCATTAAAACAATCCTTAAACTATTTTGGTTTGTTTGCGCTAGCACTAGCAATTTTACTTTTGGTTATGATTTGATTTCATTATCATTGCAGTAGTGTTAGATATGTGTAAAGCTTCCATTTGTGCACTGGCAGGTACACTTTTTTTTTTTAATATTGTTATGAGAGACTATGGAAATAAATTGTTTCAAAGAGAGTCCACCTTAATTAACTCAGGCTAACAGTAGCTGGGAATTCACTCTTTTTAAAGTTTTAAAGATTCTGCTTTTAATACAAACTAGATATCTTCCTGAAATATGTGAGTGTTTCCTTGGTTTGTCAGCTACATGGGGTTTGACAACTACAACTTTGTTTTCTAAACATTTTGGGGGCAAATCCAAAATAGTTAAAATATTTTTGTTGTTAATAAAATTATCTCCATAGTTTAATTTCTTGCACTTTTCATTTCTTAGAAATATTGAAATGACCTAAGTATGAGTCATTTATCGTGAGCCTGAGACAAATATAAAAAGGTTAAGGTAACATATTTAAGTGTTTTTCCCCTGCTTGAGGCAGACAGCTATAGTAAATGCTATATGGGTAATTACAAGTAGTATAGTATATGTCACATTTACCCCATATATTTATAATGCATAAACAAATAGTTTTCCATGTATTAAAGATGCCTGTTCAAGCATAATCTATCCTTTCAAAATTATGAAAATATTTTACTGAGCTATATGTGTTAAAATTGGAACCATAATAATTTATATCTTACCCTTGACACTCACTATTGAACCATGTTTTGTTTATTTCAGGAACTCTGATACTAGCAGGTAAAATGGAGAAGCCATGTGTGAAAAACTAAGTACACCCTTACTGCTTCCAAAGGC